CTTCAAGTATTAAATTTAGGCAAGGGAATATGTAAGATGACATATTTAATTACTTTGTTATTAATAGAATAGCTCAAATTTTAGCAAAATGAGCTCTTTGCAACTCGATTGGTCAATATTATATTCTGGAATCTCCTATTATATTGGTTCAACTTTTATTGCATAATGTTTTATCATTATCATGTTGAAAAAATTTTCAATGTCTTAACATTAAAAAAAAAAAAAAAAATTGTCAAAAATGTGTCTAATAAATTTTCACTGTCTATTTTACTTCAAATCTTAAATTTAAACAAGTAACTGTGCAAGATGATGGTTCATTAGCTCCTCATAGACAAGTAGTTTATATTTTAATAATACAAGTTCTTTGTAACCTAATTGGTGAATATTATATTATGAAAAACCTCCTACTTTTTTTATTCTAATTTTACTGTCTAAGATGTTTTATCCTTATCACAATGAATCAAATTTTCAATGTTTTACACTCTAAAAAACAAATTTGTTATAAGATGTGCGCCTAATAAATTTTTATTTTGTATCTTTTTCATTCAGATTCTTAAATTCATACCAGTATATATATATATATATTTTTTTACATGCGATTGAACTTGTTTTTCAAAATTTCCTGGCCTAAACATTTTGATAATCTCTATTCAATTGCTATATATCCCTCATAATTTCTTTCTTTATATACACAAACAAACTAGATGAATGTGTCCATGCTATTGAATTTTTTGAAATCTTTCACATATCTATAAACTGATAACTTCTGAAATTCTAAGGCGTTACATATAATATGGTCAAATAAGATTTTTCAATGGTTTCATAACTTATGCTGAAGTTAATAAATGCATCACAACTCTAAGTAAGAGTATTAAAAATTGAGAGCAACAAAAATACACATGCCATATCTTCAACACCAGAAATATCTCCTTCCGATGACTACTTTAATTTGAGAATGAGAAGACCCAATCAATATAAAAAGAATTCGGATTGATTTAGTTAGGGACTGAAATTAATTAAAAATATCTTCTAATTTTTATTTTTTTGTAACTATATAAATCACTTCTGAATAAAGAAAATAACAGTGAAAATGAAAATGAAGCTTGAAAATTTACTATTTTTAATATTCTAAAAAAATTATTTTTCATTTGCACTTGATTATTCCAAAAAATACACAAGTAAATAAATGCATAAATATTATATAAATTTAAAATTAAAAAATAATAAAGTATATACAATCAAGGCAACAGACGGTGGTACACCCAGAATTAAATTATTTTCAAATATCAGATTTACCCGAGCAGGGAGAATAATGAAATAAATTATAAAATAATTTTTAATAATTTGTAATTTATAATTTTATTAATTAACTTTCCAACAACAACAATTTATAATTTCTTATTTACATCATGTACACTATGTTTTAGTTGAAGTATTTAAAGTTGAATTTAATAATTATTTATTTTTATAGAAAGTTGTGAGTTTAAGTTAAAATATATATTTTTCGTACGTTCTCGTTATATATGTTAAGATTGATGTGTATATATAATTGAATTTACTCTTGAATCCAAACAATATAAGAATTAATCTTCAAATTCATCTCCAGAATAAATTTCTGGCTTTACCTCCTTTGCCCTTGATGTTAAAATCTCCCCAAAATCTTTTTCCTTCACTTCAAAGTTCTCTTCCTCGAAGGTTTTTTGGCTTATGTGTAAAAATCCATTAATCAAGAGAATACCTGAAGGAGTTAATTCAAAATAACAAGTCCTAAATTTTAAGATGCTAAAACTTATGAACCCTAATTTAAAAACAAAAATACCTACGAATTTCTACATATATATATATGTATATATAATGAGAAATTTCTTTTATATATATATATATATATTTATGAAAAAGGCTGCAGTAATAAACTATATAAGCGTTATACATACATAACACGTGACTAAAAAGATATAAGAAAAGGTGAAAAAGAAAAGCAGAAAGACGATGGTGCCTGGAACCTAGAGATTGCAGTAAGAATTTCAATGCCACGAGTTGGATTATTTGACCTTCATCAAATACTATTATTCTCTGCTGCAAGTCAGAAGTATAATAATAATAATAATAAATAAATAAACACACGTGCATCTTAAATAATAATAATAATAATAATAATAATATTCCAACTCTAAAAATCTTCCCGTAATTTATTGTCATGCACGTAAAAAAATTATTATTAAGATGAGAAAAGAATAATTACAAATGCAGAAATTTTAAATAAATTAATGATTTCTATAAATATATTTATGATTATTATCCTTATTAATAATTCCTACAAATAAATCCAAATATGCTGTACTTCATAATAAATATATTTTAAAAGAAATGAACAAGACCAACGACCCCAACCTTCATACATATATATTATATATATATATGTATGTATATTAGTGACGTACTATTTTGATCAAATCAATTCAGAAGGTAGCTAATTTTAAAATTATTATTTTTTAATAAATTCATATTCTTTTACGAATAAATTTATATATTAGGCCACGTGAAGGAAAATGAAACTTCACAGAAGCAAAGGAAATATGATTGTTAATGTAGAAAACCAACGAACCAAGGAAGAAGTATCTCCAAACCTATATGTGTGTATATACAGGACTGCCTACACAAAATCTTTATAAACCAACCCACTCCCCAATACTCGCTGAACAGAAACCCTAAACACAACTCAATTCAATTTTGAAGGAATGGGGAGTGATACCTGGCAATCTTCGGATTCAGCTCTTCTAGAATCAATCCGCCACCATCTCCTTGCTGATGATTTCGAAGCTTCAGTGGCGGCCATGCTTACCAATCGTACTGAAACCATTAATACAGGGGAAATCATCAAAGCGGAAACGAGTGAAGATACTGGGGAGATGCGTGACATACAGGGGACATTATCAAAGGGATCGAATTACAGAGGGGTGAGGAGAAGACCGTGGGGAAAATACGCGGCGGAGATCAGAGATCCAAAGAAGAACGGAGCGAGAGTATGGCTGGGAACTTATGAGACGGCGGAGGATGCGGCGGTGGCTTACGATCAGGCAGCTTACAAGATGAGGGGATCGAAAGCGAAGCTTAATTTTCCTCATTTGATCGGATCCTGTGATTATCAGCCCTTGAGGGTGAGCCCTAAACGCCGGCCGACGGAACCCTCGTCGTGTTTGAACGATCAGGATGTAAAGCGTCGAAAATGAAAGTGTTTGTTTTGTTTTGAATTTCCGTTGGTTGAAATATGCGAAAAAGACTGCACGCCAAAATCCAGGACGACGTCGCATTTATTATATATATATATTATTATTTATTTTAAATATTTAATTTTTTGTTTTATAATATAAAAAATTTAAAATTGTTAAAACATTTTTAAAAACCGACTCATCTTTTCAAGAATTAATTAAAATAAATTAATAACAATGTATTAGTTTAATTACTAATTAGTTAATCAACTTAAAACGATAATTATTATTTTTTAAGTTATTTTTAAAATGTGTTTAATTGTTTTAAACTTTATCTGTTAATAAATATAAGTAGAGTTGATTGTCGGAAGAAAATATCAAATTATAATAAATAATAAAGATTAGGAATAATCAGTAATTTATTACTGAAGTGGCATCAATATAAGTAATGAATTTTTTGTTTAAAAATTAAAAATAGATTCAATTAAAATCAATTGGTTGGGCACCTGACAGAGATTTCAATATCAAAACATATTTTGATGGTAGGAGTTATAACTGATTTACTTAATAAAATATTATTTAATTGATATAATAAGTCATTTGAATGGAAAATTTTCATTTTGCATAGGTTGGATGGATAAGTACCAAGAACTATCGTGCTTTCTCTATTGGTATAAAGCATTATCTTCATGCTGACTGACTCCCTACTATAAACTGTAAATATTATTTATGTTTATATAATTGATTAAATTATAAATATAATTATTATAAATATAACTAGGTAGATATATATATATATATATACTCATTCACAACATTATTTATACAAAAAGACTCAACTTTTAACCTAACCTAAAATTTACAACTTAAACTCCCTAACTAGTAATTTTTATACTATTTCAAATAATATTTTTAGATAATAACTTACAAGATTTAGATAAGGAAAAAGTCAAATAAAGATCTTGCCTTGTGAAATTTTTCTTTCAAGCTGATTTATTCAAACAAGACTTATCCGGCTACTAACTTCTCATGCACTTATACGAGAAAATTCCAATATAATCATGCCACACTTATCATATATATATATATATATATAACACATTAAATTTACAAGCATAAGAATGCAGCTCACTTTACGTACCAATACCCAGTTCGAAAAAGTCCTAACACCTGAGCATCTTTTCTTGACCATGTTCATGCTACCTTCATACTTTTCAACTCTCTCTGCATTCATTCTCCTCTAAATCATAAACAAACACATATGCACATATATATACATAACATACATACATACATACATACATATAGAAACATATTAATACGCAGCTTGAACCTAAGAAAAGAGAGAAGACAAAAAGCAAAAGAGAGAGAGAACAAGATCAGCATAGAAAGCTTCGCTTGGAGAAACAAGTTAATGATGATTGAGTAAGAGTGAAGATCAAGCAGGGTACAAATTTAGAATTTTCAAGACAAATTATTCACAATACTAACAGACAGGTTCGAGGTTGTACCTATACAAACACAAACTGCTTGTATAGCCCAATGTTTTTATTAAGACAAAAGTTTTTACCGTAACTAAACAAACCTATACAAATGAATCATGTCTGTATAAAATCACTTTTAATAGTGGAACGAAGAAATAAATTATATCAATAGAAAGCTATTTATACTAAGTTTTAATAACGACATGATTTGTTATAACAAATAATCATTACTAAAACATGAAATTTTGACTTTGAAATAAGAATTAGAGAAATTTTACATATTTTTATACAATATAGAGAGAATTTTAGTATTTTAACCTAAATTATTTGAAAGAAAATGTTTTTTTTGGTCTCTTAAAAAAGAAAATTCATTTTAAGTTTTGATTTTTCATTTATTTTATTTAATTTTTAATTTTTTTGTTTTTTATAAAAAAAAGTGGACCTGCTGATATAAGTTTTAGGTGTAATGAATCTTAACTTCATAACACTTAAAATTTTAAAAATATGTTAATTTCTAATTTATTATT